CAAAAAAACCCCCAAATGATCCAATCAAAAAATGAGCAGAGGACCTGAACAGACACTTCTCCCTAGCGGACATACAAATGGCCAACAAATATATAAAAGATGCTCAACATTGCTAGCTATTAGGGAAATGCAAATCAAAACCACAATAGATACCATCTCACACCTGTTAGAATAGCTATAATCAACAGGACAAGTAATAACAAATGTTGGAGAGGATGAGGCGAAAAAGGAACCCTTATACACTGCTGGTGGGACTGCATATTGGTGTAGCCACTGTGATAAACTGTGTGGAGTTTCCTCAAAAAATTGAGACTAGAATTATCATATGACCCAGCAATCCTTTTTTCTGGATATTTACCCCCAAAATTTGAAAACATTTATCCATAAAGATATGTGTACCCTAATATTCATAGCAGCATTATTCACAGTGGCAAGGACATGGAAACAACCAAAATGCCCTTCGATAGATGATTGGATCAAGAAGCTGTGGTACATCTATACAATGGAATATTACTCAGCTGTAAGAAAAGATGAAGCACTGCCATTTGCAACAACTTGGATGGATCTTGAATTATCGTGCTAAGTGAAATAAGTCAGACAGAAATGTGGGATATAGAACTTAAAGCAACAAACGAACAATACAGAGACTCATGGATATGGACAACAGTTTAGTGGTTACCAGAGGAAAGGGGGAATGGGGAAGGTAAAAAAAGGGTAAAGGGGGTCAAATACGTGGTGACAAAAGGAAATCTAACTTTGAGTGGTGAACACACAATGCAATATATATATGATGTATTATTGAATTATACACTTGAAACATATAATTTTATTAACAAATGTCACCCCAATAAATTTAATTTTTAAAAAAGTTTCTTTCAGGTAAACAAGGCCATGAATAAAGTTCTCTCAATATTTTTCAAGAGTAGGTTTTCTTTTTCTGAGAGATAGGGAGAGAGAGAGAAAGAAAGAGAGAGACTTCTCTTATCAGAATGGAGTCTAAGGCTTGTCACTTTGAAAGCCAGAAAACTTCTATGTGATAGAAAAGACTTTATTATTCTCCACGAAAATATTTTTTAAATGTGATGATTTAGAAATCTACTTCAGATAAAGTTGATGGCTTTTTTGGCTGATGACAGAATTTCTTTTAGGGTTGTTTGAAGAGTTTTCATTGTCAGTATATGTCTGTTGTAAAACAAGTGAATGGCCAGGTCGTGAAGACCTTCCTTTTTCACTAAAGTAGCAAAAACAAATGGTCACCAAGCATCATAGGCGCTCCATCTGTGAAGACAGAAAAGAACCTCTGTCTCAGTCAACGTTTTGTATGATAAAATGACCTTGTTAACATTGCCAAAAAGTAGTTGACTTTTACAATTTCCAAAAGATGTCCATGATTTTAACAGCCTGCATAGAGCAAGCAATACCCAAAGGAAAAGGGGAACTAGTTACACTGAAAGATGCCTTTCGTTTCATCCGATTGTAAAATGAATGAGTATGGCAAAGGTGCCGATTCCTCAATGACTACCTCAAAGCTTTTTTAAAAAATCAACTATTCTATTTGACAAGGAAAATGAATTACAGATTTTTTTCTTAGCTGCAGCCCACAAACCAGTTCTAATATGATTTACTAAAGTTTACCCCATGTAAGTGGAGCTTCCTTTCATTTGGAAAGCTGGTGAGAAAACATATGGAAGCCTCAAGAAAAGGGTTTGGCAAAATGGCACAACTACATTTAGAAACATGCCAAATTTTTCAAACTGAGCCTTCTTATTAGGAAAAATTCTAATCCTGAGATGTATTTTCAGAACAGACAGAAGTGAGAATCACCTTCATTTTGCCTGGCTTCCTGCTTGCATTGACAAGAATGTTCCCACGCTAATGAAAACACTGTGGCCTTTATGTCTTAGCAAGTTCAAAGACGCAAATGGAACCATCTAATTCCTGTACTTTCACATATTTCTATTGGTAACAAAGTCTCAGCACTGCTACACTCTTATAGTTTGTTGCCAACATTCAATATGGAAGGAAATGATTAATATCAGCTAGAGATTAATGAAAAACATAAAATTTTCTATCTGAGTTTATGGGCCCCATGAAACTAAGAGGACACTAGACCCCTTATTAATAAATCTTATTTATTAAGGGAAGGGAAGGTGCTAACAAAAATCTAATACTTACATGCATAAACAGTCCATAAATAATCCTGAAAAAGTTTTTTGGAACTTTTTATTATCCATTAGGACTTCTCATCTGAAGCTACATATTAATAGCAGTATCGTGAACAAGTCCTGAATTTTAGTGATGCTGATTTGTCCTTGTATCTCCACTGTGCTCCTTGCTAAACATGTCGCCACCAGGGTTTTGTGACGGCTCCAAGAGCAACCTAAGTGCTGGCTTCGTATGTGGCGCCATAGCAAGCACTCAGTAAATTAAATGTTGGTTTTGTTCTGTTTCTGCTCTTCCCACCAGCAAGCAGAGTTGTGAGGGGCTGGATGTGTACTCCAGGTGATTTCCCTCGACCCCACAAGCGGGTACCTCCCCACCAGATTTTTTAAAGGATTATTATCTCTCTTTCTAGTCTCTATACACACTCTGGATAACAATTGCCAACCCTGGGAACCTGGGAACAGAGCAGCCTGATCCCTGATTCTATGCCAAGGTCCATTTCCCCAAAACAAAGGGCAGCTTTTAGAAGCTCAAGTTAAGAGGATTGCTCACCTGTAGTATCACCACAGTCTCAGTCACCCATCCTGGAGCCAAGAAAGACCATGAACGCAAGGACACAATGTTCTGCTTTCATCTCCACAGAGCAGGGCAAATGACATCTATGCTGAGTGGTTGGACGTCTTGGCATTAGAATTTATTAATTTGGGTGCTGTGCCAAACTGACTCTGTATCAGTGGGATCAAAGATAGTGGGATCAAAGATAGTGGAATCATGCGAGACTGACACTGTCATTCATTCACTCCCTCATTCAGTCATCATATGTCCAGCACATCACCATGTCCCCAGCAGAGTGCCAGGTCAGAATGACTGAACTTGGTACCCATTTTCAAAATTTGCATTACAGAACCATAGAATGTTAAAGTTGTAAACAATCATAAAAATGACTAAAATCTCACATCACAGATAAATGGCTTGGTGAAGATGCCATGAGTTACACAATGATCAACCACAGCTCTCCAGACTCCCAGAAAAATGCTCTATTATGCTACACTATCTCTGTTAATAGGTTCTAATACCGAGTCTCTCCTACTCCATGCTAAATGAAGAAAGAAGTTGTTTTTAAGAGAAAATTTGATGGATGAGTTACCACGAGAAGATAAGGAATAGGTCAGAGGACCCCAGTGCTTGGGTGGAGTTGCAAAATTCCACGATCTTAACTAGAAATAATCCAGTAGAAAAGAGATTCAAAACTCAATGGGCCTTTCAGAAAGTATCTTCCAAGGGGATCCTTGAAAGAAGAATAGAAACTGTGCAAACCCATTGTAGTTTATCTAGAATGTGTGCACCTTTGGCTATGATTCTAGAGTCACTCTGTTTAAACAGAGAAAGCAGAGCAAACAGGTAACAATTAAAATGCCTTGATTGCCTTTAAACCCAAGCACCAAAGGATCAGGGGTTTGTTTTCTTGAAAAGCCTTTGGAAAGTCCTGAAAAATGTTATCCAGTTTCTAACAACTTCTCTGGAAATATGGCAGAATAGACAAAAGACACCCTAATCCTGCTCTCCATTCTAGAATCAATTATTCCAGAGGAATCAATTCCCTCATGTCTAAGGCTCCTGAATCTCTTTTTAGGCAAAGATGGACTCCACACTCTGGCTTGTCACAGAAAAAAAACACTTTGTAAGTTTTGTAGCATTTGAGTTAAGACTTTATTTCATGCAATCTACATCTGACATCTAAAAATGTCAGACTTGATATGTTTTAATGAACATGTTGTTTCTACAACTAAAATATGTGTCATTGAATCAATTCAGCATGAAAGATTCCTAGTATCTCTAGCCAAAGTACCATCAGCTCACTGGTAGGTTTAGGAGATTTAGAATGCCAGCGTTGGTCATAGTTTTTTAGAGCTTTACTCATGGTGAACCTTAACGAGATAACATTTGTAGAGAAAGATACTTAAATCATAGACAAAACTGGCCAGTTTCACAATATAAATTTGCTGAGGATCAATTTGTGTAATAAATTTTGGGGGAGATTTTACAGCCTTACAAAGTTAAAAGTCCCTGGCCTTGGAGGAAAAATTTCTGGTAAGGTAAAAGAGTTCTGGACTGAGAATCAGAAGTTCTAGGTGGAAGGTCCAGTTTGGTCATAGATTATACATTCATCTCTTT